GCACCTGACATTAGACGCAAATTACAGAAGTTAGAAGGGTTCCAAGGGATGAACGTGTCCCAATTAATTGAGGTGGCCCAGAAGGTTTTTGTGAATAGAGATAAAGAAGAGAAGAAAGAAGAAGAAGCTAAGCATAGACGAAAGGCAGCAATTTTAGCAGCAGTGATCCAAGGCCATGAGTATGACCGCCCGTCCCCAACATCCAACCTTGAGCCCCGTGGTCCTAGAACCCTAGGCCGGGACCAATGTGCATACTGTAGAGCGGATGGCCACTGGAAAAACGAATGTCCGAACCGCCAGTCCAGACTCCGGGGGAGGGGAGGATCTAGAGGCCAAGGAAGAGGACAGAGCTTTAACCACCTTCCAAGAGGGCAAGTTAATGAAAGCCGGTACAGCCGCACCTACCCTGCAGGGAAGTCGGAAGATGGCTTTGTTGGTATGGCCGGAATGAACTATGATGATTAGGGGCGACCGGGCTCTGTCAATTGTGGCCCTCGGGAGCCCTTGGTCCGCTTAAATATTGAAGGAAATCCTGTTGATTTCATGTTAGACACGGGGGCTGAAGTATCCATTGTAACGACACCCATTGCTCCGCCCACTAAAGATAGCCTAACAGTTGTAGGCATGGCAGGGAAGAAACTTGCTCTCCCATACCTCCAATCAAGAACCTGTTCTCTAGGAGGTCACCGGGTCACCCACCGTTTTCTCTTAAATCCCAGCTGTCCGATTAATTTGCTTGGGAGAGATCTTTTATCTAAAATGCGTGCCTCCATAACCTTTGATACTCCGGATGGCTCAGCACTTCTGTCCTTACCTCCAGAGACTCAAACTTCACTAGTGTGTTGTAATTTAGAGGTTGATGCTACAGAAGAGTGGCGACTTCCTGAGGTCCTAATGGGATGTGGATTTAGAAGACACCCTGATGGTGACCCTGAAGAAGTCCAGTATCAGACTGATAAAGATGCTTTTTATGACAAGGAAAAGGTGCAGGATAAATTGTACTACCGAAATGAAGTGCCAACTGTATGGGCAGAAGATAATCCCCCAGGCTTTGCTAAACACCAACCTCCTGTAGTTGTGGTCCTTAAACCTACTGCCAATCCAGTGAGAGAGCGTCAATACCCTATTCGTGAAGATGCCCGAAGAGTGTTAACCAAACACTTTCAGAGACTCCTGAAAGATGGCATCCTGATCCCCTGTGAATCTGCCTGGAATACTCCGATCCTTCCAGTACCTAAGCCTTCTCCAGACCCCAAGAATCCTGATTACCGCCCAGTCCAAGACCTGAGGGCAGTGAATACTCAAGTAGAAGCTATCCACCCTGTAGTGCCAAATCCCTATACAATCCTGACTCTGATTCCATCCACGGCTGCATGGTTTACTGTCTTGGATTTGAAAGATGCGTTCTTCAGTATTGGACTTCACCACCAGTCCAGAGACATCTTTGCCTTCGAATGGAGAGCCCCTGGAGCCTCCAGCCCATGTCAGTACACTTGGACTCGTTTGCCCCAAGGCTACAAAAATTCTCCTTCATTGTTTGGACAGGCCCTCGGTAAAGACTTAGAGAACTTTGACACCCAAGAAGGGGTCCTTACCTTAATCCAATATGTGGATGACTTGTTACTTTGTGCCCCTGACCCTCATCGATGTTCCCAGGGCACCCTTAACCTTCTCCGTCTCCTTGATGCCTGTGGCTATAAAGTCTCATTCAAGAAGGCCCAGATCTGCTTAACTCGAGTCCAGTTCCTAGGATTTGAAATCTCTAAGAATCAACGGTCTCTCAGTAATGCAAGGAAAGAAACTGTGTGCCAGATACCTCTACCCCAGAGTCGCAAAGAGCTACGAGGCTTCTTAGGTGCAGCTAGCTACTGTCGGTTATGGATTCCCTCCTTTGCTCTTTTGGCCAAACCCTTATATGAAGCTACCAAAGGGGGGACACAGGAACCTTTTGTCTGGGGCCCAGATCAAGATGTTGCCTTTAGGACCCTGAAACAACGGCTCATTGAGGCTCCTGCCTTAGGACTGCCAGATCCAGAAAAACCTTTTTCCCTTTGCGTAGATGAGAAGCAAAGTGTTGCTTTAGGTGTCCTTCTCCAGAAACTTGGGACTCACAATCGGCCTGTGGCCTACCTTAGCCAAAACCTGGATGCTGTAGAAGCCGGTCTGCCCCCTTGCTTACGTGCTGTTGCTGCCTGCTGTAGACTTATTGAAGCAGCAAACAAATTCACCTGGGGAGCCCCACTCACAGTGTTTGTATCACACGGAGTTAAGACCATTTTAGAAGCTCGTGGTCACAAATATCTGACAGTTTCACGTATGGCCAGGTACCAAGCAGTTCTCCTCGAGAACCCAGGTGTATCTCTAGCTCCTGTCATCAACATAAATCCAGCCACCTTGTTGCCAGTACCATGTGAAGATGTTGAGCATGATTGCCTAGTAACCACTGACCAGCTGTTTGCATCTCGTCTTGACCTTCGTGACCAACCCCTTCAGCAGCCAGACTTAATATTGTACTGTGATGGTAGCAGTTTCATCAACCCTCAAGGACGTCGCAAAGCAGGCTATGCTGTTGTAGATGACCATCAGGTGATACAAGCAGAATCTCTACCCGTTGGAACATCTGCTCAACTAGCAGAAATAATAGCCCTGACAGTTGCCCTACATCTAAGCAAGAATGCAGCTGCAAATATATTCACCGATTCAATGTTTGCTTTCAAGGCAGCCCATGCACATGGAATGCTGTGGCAACACCGAGGATTTATTACAGCCGCTGGAAAGGATATCAAATATGGGCCAAATCTTCGTCTTCTGCTAGAAGCCATCAATCTGCCAACTAAGATTGCAATAATCCACTGTCGAGGACATCAACGGAAGTCTGACCCAATTGCAGAAGGAAATGGTCGTGCTGATAAAGCAGCTAAGGAAGCAGCAGAAGGAAAACTTTGTCTCCGCACTCTAGTTCCTAGTCCGTCAGTCTTAGCCTGTCCTGTCTTCCCCACTCCAGTCTCAGCTTGGACGCCTCGTTACACCAAACATGAAGACTACCTCTGTGACCAGCAATCAGCAAAAAAGAATGAGGAAGGTTGGTGGATCTTGCCAACAGGAAAAATTTGGATTCCAGCCTCCTTAGGCTATGAAATAATGAAAGCCCTTCATGCTAATACCCATTATGGATCTTCCAGTCTTGTTAAAGCCTTAGACCGCTGGGCTCATCTGGAACGGAAGACAGCATTAGCAGACCTCGTGTGCCGTCAGTGTGTTACCTGTGCCCGAAACAATCCTAGAGAAGGTCCCCGACGACCTCCAGGAATCAATACCCCAGGACCAGCCCCAATGACTTCGCTTGTTGTTGATTTCACCGAGATGCCAAAAGTTGGTCGTCATCACTACCTGTTGGTGTTTGTCTGTACGCATACTGGATGGATAGAAGCGTTTCCAACTGCCACTGAAAAGGCCTCAGAAGTTGCCCGAGCCATGTTAAGGGATCTAATTCCAAGATTCGGATTACCTACCTGGGTTTCCTCTGATAATGGACCAGCCTTCATCTCTGAATTAACTCAGCAAGTTGCCAAAGCCTTAGGAATCATCTGGAAATTACACTGTGCCTATCGTCCCCAGAGTTCAGGAGCAGTAGAACGAGCTAATAGAACTCTTAAAGCCTCCTTGCGGAAGTTCACCCAAGAGACTGAACAGCCATGGCCTAAGATTCTACCTCTAGTGTTATTCCGACTGCACTGCCTCCCTTCCAAACGAACTTCAGTTTCTCCTTATGAGGCAATGTTTGGCCGTCCTCCCCCACTGACCATGGGAGTTCATACCGATGCTTATGGGTTTCATCAGTTAATCACCTCAGCAGAATTACAAGCCCTTGGACGACAAGTTGAGAAACTCCAAAGACATTACTCTGCCTGTCTCCCAGTTCCCTTGTTTGATTCTGTGTGTCATGTCAGTCCTGGAGATTCAGTATGGGTTAAAAATTGGAGACCAGAGCCCTTAGGGCCAAGGTGGGAGGGACCTTTCACTGTTTTACTCAGTTCCCCTACAGCTGTGAAGGTCGTTGAGAGGAAACCCTGGATCCACTGGACGAATTTGAAGCTTGCCCATACTAGATGGACTGCTGAGCCAGGATCTAATCCTACTACTGTGAAGCTTAGACGTGTCGTGCCCAGTAATCCAGCAAGCTCTGCTTCTCTTGGGCCCACGCCCCAAGAGGACACAGCTGAAGATTGACTCCAGAACCCCTGCTGAGACCTACCGGAAACGGTCTCCCTGCGCACGGGTGAAAAATCAGACCTTCGTTGGAGCATCAGGCCCTGCTCTAGTCACACCGGAAGCTGACTAGTCGACGCACAGGCCCAAGATGTGGATGCTTCTGTTAAATTGTGTTTTTGTACCTTCTATGATCTGCATCCCAGTTATGGGGTTTCCTGCTTGTACCTCTTGCATTACTTCCACTTTTCGTGAAGGTCAAGTCTCACAAACCCTCATTTATCATTCTGACTTTGATTGTATTTCGTCTGTAGTTACCCAATGTTCTCATGAGGGCATAAGTTACAGTGTTTGTGTAAATCAAGGGAAATTTATGTGCTTTCGACCCCAGTCCAATGTGACTCGGGCCCGTATTAATGTTTATGCTTATATTAGTGGATGGTACACAAGTCCTGATACTTTCACCTCTTCCCTTTTAGCGTCCAATGTCACTTCCCAGTCTAGTCAAAGTATGCAAGTCTGTTTTGACATATGTCATGCCATCTCTCGAAGTCGAAAGTATAGTGCAGGGGAAATTAGACAAACGTGTGGAGGGCTAGCTAAAGAGCAGAGCTATGCCAAAGAAGGGAAAATGTTTCTGTCATCAACTTATGAACTTGAAGCACAAGTCTGGTATGTCTCTAATGATGGTAATATCTCAGATGGACCTCAAGGTGGAATAGTGGGAGGAGGGAAAGCCCACCCGTACTTTAAGTTATCCCAGGGAACTAGTCTAACCCCTTGCAGCCATAACCACTGCACTCCCTTGTGCTTACATTTCCGAGCATCCGAGAACCAGGGAAGAAAGAAACTGATGTATGGGGTTGGCATAGATATTGGTGGTCGAAAAAGTCCATACGGACGCATTGTCATAGAAACTATTAGTTCAAAAATCCAAAGCACTGAAATGAAGATTCACACAACCTTTTGGTCAGAAATGGGGAAAGTAATAGAAATCCCCCCAGTGACCAAGAATCTATTTATCGATCTTGCTGAAAGAATTGCAGGAGAACTATCAGTTAAGAATTGTTATGTCTGTGGAGGTACCAATATGGGAGAACAATGGCCCTGGGAGGCCAAAGAGGTAGAACTTAATAATATCTCCCATGCTTTCAACCTTTCCTGGAATAATATCCACCGCCCCAGTAGATGGATCCTGAAAAATCCCTTAGTTGGTCATACTTGTTTTATACGACAGGGAGCTCCTTTTAACATTTCAGTGGGAGCCCTAGATTGTGAAGAAGGATGGTTCTGTAATGGCACCCAGCCTAAAGCCTATATTAATTTTGCTAATCCGAATGTCACCCAAGCCCCACCTTATGTTAATATGAGTCGTTTACAAGTCCTATGGGACAACCCCTGTAGCACTTCTAAAGAATGGAGAGCTCCAGACTCCTTATACTGGATATGTGGTTCAGCTGCCTATGCAACCCTGCCCCTTACATGGAATGGTGCTTGTATATTAGGTACTATAAAACCTAGCTTTTTCCTCCTACCCCTCACTGTCGGAGAAAGGTTAGGAGTCCCAGTATATGATGAGTTAGGACGCTCAAAGCGAGAAATACGGGGATTAGCTGTAGGTAACTGGAAAGATGATGAATGGCCTCCAGAACGTATTATTCAAGTATATGGTCCAGCTACCTGGGCAGCTGATGGTACATATGGTTATAGAACCCCCATTTATATGCTAAATCGAATAATTAGACTACAAGCGGTTTTAGAAATCATAACTAATGAAACTTCCCTGGCTCTGTCTGTATTAGCCGAAACCAACACACAACTTCGCACTGCTGTTTACCAGAACCGACTTGCCTTAGATTTCTTATTAGCAACTGAAGGAGGAGTTTGTGGAAAGTTTAACCTTTCAAATTGTTGTTTACAGATTGATGACAATGGTAAAGCTATTGAACAGATTACAGAACATATGCGTAATTTAGCCCATGTCCCAGTCCAAACCTGGACAGGAATAGATACTGAAGATTGGTTCGGAAACATGCTTGGAGATTGGAAACGTATATTGTTCTTAATAGCTTTAGCCTTTGGTGGTTTGTTACTTCTCCCTTGTTTGATACCTTTGATTAAGAATGTAGCTACCAAAACAGTTAATGCAATGTTAGCTCACAATGATACTGTTAAACTTTTATATTTGGTTACTGCTAAAAGGAACAGGTTGAACACTAATGCATAAATTCTTCCACAGGTTAAAGAAGAAAAGTACTGTTAGTTACTGTATACTCTCCAGGCAAGGAATAAATGCTATGCCATGTTATTGGTCGGTCTCTCTCTCTGTCCCAGAGAAAGGACCGAAAGGGGGGAATGAAGTAGGCATTTATTATTCCTTGCCCATATAAGGGGATAGTTGCTGTTCATGTTCCAGTCATAAGGGGGCAGAAGTGAGCTTGTGTAGTTTGGGAGGGAAAAGTAAGCCTAGTCAATGGAAAATTCCACTCTGGTGATGTAAATGATGACGTGTAACCTTGTTGCAGTATAAAAGCCTGGAGCCTGCATTGCTCTGGGTTCAGTCTGTTTAAAGCGTGCTTCGCTGACTGAACCGGCGCCAATAAAGTTCTTCTCCTTCTGTTGATCTGGTGGTCTGTGCTTGGGCTTAGGCCCCTTTCTCCGTGCTACAACAACACAACCTCACAGTAAAGCAAGCTCAGAGGATACTTCTCCAGCCTATCCTTCAGCATGTGTATGAACATACGAAGCTTCGGCCTCAAGGGGCTTTGCTGCCCCAAGCGAGGGGTACTCCGCAATGCCTGGGCCCATGCCCACACCTCTGCTTGCCAGGTGCCAGGCAGAGCCTTTGGGGCTTGCTTGGGCCCAGCTGGTGGGAGTGCAGGCCCAACACGCGTTCAGCCCCTGCAATGCACCAGCACCCGCCTTCCGTCTGCCGCCACCGGGAGGGGGTCACGTGGACAGAGAAGTCCGACCCTCCCAGGTCTCAGGCAGAGAAGAGTCCTGGCTGGAGATTTTGGCTACCTCTCATCGCCGTCATCAAGCAGAGCAAGAGAGAGCGGCCTGGCCAGTAAACAAGCCCGTGCGCTTCCCCAACTTGTTGATGTCGTCCTCACTATTAAGTTGGTGCACCCTCTGAAGCCTTATTTGGTGTGTTCTCGTTGGAGCGCACGGGGAAGCCTCCAGTTCTCACTTGCCTGGATAATGAACAGTAAAGCTGGGATCTTAATTGCCCTTCCCCTGGGATCAAAAGAAGAGCCTGGAAGCACACCGCTCCCTTTGATCTGCTCAGATGCAAATTTAGGGGAGAAATGGGGGAAAGAGCCGACGTCTGCCCAGAGACGATGTTGCCAATGTTGCCGTGGAGATTCAGAAACGCTACCCCCAAAAGTTGGGGCCTGTGTCAATGTTCCCTCTAAGCTGTGGAGTCTTGTGCAGGGTTCCCTCTAAGCTGAGTTAGTGTGAGCCAGCTCACAGTTTTTTAGCCTTCGGCTCACACATTTTTGTCTTAGTTCAGGAAGAGTGGCTCCAGAGCAAACTAATTTAGGCAGTAGCCAGATCACCTGCTCACAATTTTAAAGCCAGTTCCCCAAGTAGAATTTTTGCTCACAGGACTCCATACCTTAGAGGGAACATTGGTCTTGTGAGCAAAAATTCTACTTGGGGAACTGGCTTTAAAATTGTGAGCAGGTGATCTGGCTACTGCCTAAATTAGTTTGCTCTGGAGCCCCATCCCTTCCTGAGCGAAGACAAAAATGTGTGAGCCAGAGGCTCAAAAACTGTGAGCTAGCTTACACTAACTCAGCTTAGAGGGAACACTGGTCCATGTAGGGTTAATTGCTGAGTCAGCAGAGAGCCCCTTCCCCCTCCAGATGAACCCCCTGTTGGATGCCCACAGAGAGAGAGAGAGAGAGAGAGAGAGAGAGAGAGAGAGAGAGATTCATTCTCCCAAGGTGGGTTAATACTGTGTACTGAATCACATGTTTGTTTGTATCCTATCTGTTTAGAGAGCTAGAAAGGCCGCCAACTTCAGATCTAGTTTGTTGTTCTGACTGGAGAATAGAGTGGCTCGTATTTAGCATTTTATGACTCTTTGTCCTGAACAAGAAGAAGCTCCAGTCTCGTTCTGACTCCATTGGAGGAGCACTCTCCATTAGTCTTAGAATGACTTAAGATGTCTCCATTAGACTTCTGCCATGTAAGTTAGACCTAAGATGTTCTCTCTAGCTGTGAGGATCTAGAAATATAGCTCTTTGTTATTTTCCATCCCGTATACTTTTTCCCATGTTAGGTTGAAGTAAACTTATTTATATTTTAATACACACCATGGACTCTGCCTCTTTAATACTCTGCTGACTCTGCTGATTAACTTTAAGAAATTAAAATACCGAATATCTAACACATCCACATACCTAGAAACACACCAGGCTGGATGTGCCATGAGGCTCCTGTAACTTGACGCCCCCCTGTCTGTCTGTCCTTCGTGACCATAGATGTAATTAAGGTCTACAGTCCAGTGTTCCCTCTAAGCTGAGTTGGTGTGAGCCGGCTCACCGTTTTCTAGCCTCGGGCTCACACATTTTTGTCTCCGCTCAGGAAGGAGGGCTCCAGAGCAGACTAATTTATGCAGCAGCCAAATGGCTCGCTCACAACTTGAACGCCAGGGGCTCACAGAGTAGTTTTTTTCCTCTCACAAGACTCCACAGCCTGGAGGGAGCCTTGGTCGACACCAGTATTACTGCATTGTCCCAAATCTCCCTGATGCGGCAGAAGAAGCCCTGGGTTTCAGAAGTTGATCTCCCAAGTTCTGCATCCGTTTCTGGTCACTCTGACCTTGCCCAGGAGCTGAGTTTACTGGACTGAGGCGCCAGAGTCGGGCCCCTCCGACTTTCACCGGCAAGCTCGCTAGGGTGAAGGGAACGGCTCTTGAGGTCAGGTCTGCAGTCACGCGGGCAAACTCTGCAAGATCCTTAGATTTGCAGTCTCCCGCCGTGTTAACTAAAGGACCTGGCCAGGTGGTGCCAGCGGATTATATCACCACTGCTCTGTGCAATTCCTTTTCAAATTTCTCCCTAACCTGAGCAGCCATATATATAGTCTTGCAAGCACATGATCGAGGCTCCCTCTAAGCCGTGGAGTCTTGTGAGCAAAAATTCTACTTTCTGAGCTACTGGCATTAAAGTTGCGAGCCAGCGATTTGGTTACTACATAAATTAGTTTGCTCTGGAGCCCTTCTTCCCAAGCTGAGACAAAAACGTGTGAGCTGGAGGCTAAAAACCTGTGAGCTAGCTCACACTAACTCAGCTTAAAGGGAACACTGCTCAGGACCCTAGACTGGAGCAAGCCAGCTTCTCGGGTTTAGGGAAGTGTCTTAAACAAGCTCTTTTCTCCTGTCAGTAAGCTAAGCAGACTGGAATGTCCCCGACGGAAGACATCGATCAGCCCAAATGTGTGACGACAGGAAGCCTCCCAACAGGTTCATACTTATGGAATGAAATCACGCCAGTACTAAAATCTTATTTTCCCACAGCCACACGGAGGAACTTCTGTGAGAGCCAGTGGAGTGCAGGGGGTCAGCCATGCCGGACCAGTCTCTGGGAGGCCTTTTCTTGGATCCCCACTCATGCCATGGAAGCTGGCTGGGTGACCTTGGGTTAGTCACTGTCTCTCAGCCCAACAGGGTAGTTGTGAGGAGAAAATATGACGTAAAAGCTGTTTGTTTGGTGTCGTGGTTAAGTGCCCGGACTCTAATCTGGGAGAACCGGGTTTGATTCCCCACTCCTCCACTTGCACCTGCTGGATGACCTTGGGCAAGCCGTAGTTCTGGTCAGAGCTGTTCTCTCAAGGGTAGTTCTCGAGAGAGCTCTCTCGGCCCCACCTACCTCACAGGGTGTCTGTTGTGGGGAGGGGAAAGGAAAGGAGTTTGTCAGCCGCTCTGAGACACCTTTGGGTAGTGAAGGGCCATGGGGTATAAATCCAATCTCTTCTCTTCTTCCGCCGCTGCTGCTGCTGCTGCTGCTGCTGTTGCTTTGGGGCCCCATTGGGGACAAAGGTGGGGTATAAATGAATTAAATGAAGAGGTAATACATAATAGTGGCCTAAATCTATGTTGTTGCGCAGGTCCCACTCGTCTGAAGAGAACAGACTTTCTGGTGGGTGAGCCCTAAATCTCTTTCTTTGGTTCTTTTGTGTCCTGACCCGGAGAGGTCTGGGCTCGTACGCCAAGCAGGGTCTGCTCTGGCAAAGACTTGGATGGGGGACCTCCTTGGACCACCAGCAGTCGGGAGGACAGCAGTCGGGAGGACAGGGGCAGGCTTCATTCAGCCGCCTCCAGGCCCCCAAGGAGGGGTCAGTCACTAGAGGTTGCCATGACTTCCAGGTGCACACACACACACACATAAGAAAAATACAAAAAAATGTCCCCACCCCCACCCCAATTAACTCCTGTCTCTTTAGGAGGAGGAGTAAATGAAAGCAATAAATGTGGGCCCAGAGGCAGGAGGGACTCCTCCTGTGTAGGAAAACGGACATCTTCAATTCCTTAACATTCATGACTGTGGGGTGGGATCAGGAGGCAGAGCCAGTCTCATATATGTGACCGCCCCTTTTCCTCTCCCACACCCATCAAGAGCAGCGTTCCCTCTAAGCTGAGTTAGTGTGAGTTAGCTCACCGTTTTTTAGCCCCTGGCTCACACGTTTTTGCCTTAGCTCAGGAAGGCTGGCTCCATTGTTCCCTCTCAGCTGTGTTAGTGTGAGCTAGCTCACCATTTTTTAGCCCCCGGCTCACACATTTTTGCCTTAGCTCAAGAAGGAGGGCTCCAGAGCAAACTAATTTATGCAGGAGCCCAATCGCTCTCTCTCAACTTTAAAGCCAGGAGCTCACAAAGTACAACTTTTTGCTCACAAGACTCCACAGCTGAGAGGGTGCGTTGATCAAGAGCCTCAGATGACCTGGGGATCCCTGATGGTGAATCCAAGCCCAACAGCCTCCATTCCTCCCCGCCCCCCCCCCCCACAGGCTCCCTGAAGGAAACAAGCACGGGGAGAGCCCCACTTCCAAACACCGGGGCTAAGTGGAGTAAGTCTGGTGAAAGCCAGCACATGTTCCCCAGCCGGTGTCGGCCTGGCATCTTCCCATCGGGGAGACACCTCTGCAGAACTCTCCGGCCGCACCAAGGGAGGAGAGGGCGGCAGAAGAGCAAGGCCCGAACAGACCTCGCTGCCTCCAGAGAAGAAAGGGGCCCCTCCCTGCCCCCAGCGGAGCAGGGGACCGGTGCCAACCGAGGCGCCACGCAGATTAACGCCGCTCAGCGCCTCGTGAACATTTAATAAGAGCCAGTTAACGAGGGATCGACGGCAGCCCTGCAAGTTGCCACAAGGGCAGAGAAACCGTTTGCGTTGGCACATTTTGGGAACAGACGGAAGTTGCTTCACCGGGAGCAAAGCCTTGCTGACCAAATTCGAGAGGAGGATTGCAAGGGAGTGATCCGCTTCCCATCGGAGCTTCACCAGGGCAGCACAAAAGCCGTTCTCCCTGCTCAGCACTCTCTGGGGGCAAGTGCCTTCACTGATGTGCCCCCTCGCTCCCAGTCCACAGCGGTGGGTTGGTTCAGTGTCTCTTTTGCCCCATGCGGATGCTGCCTTCGGGGCAAACCCTTTTTGCAAGAATCTGCCGGGGCCCCAGTTTCGTTCCAGTCCACCCCTCTGGCTCCAGCTGATGCCAGCCAGGTGGGGCAAGAAACAAGCGAGCAAGGAGGCAGGAGATGTTCCCTTCCCAGGACCGCAGAGCACCATTTTGCTTTCGAAGGCAGAGGTGCCCCCAGTCTGCCCATCCCCATGCATGGCCACGGCCAGAACTTCCCTCCAGGAACCGGTTGTGCCCGCTGGGTGCCCTCTTGCCCTTAACGGGGCCACACGCTGAACAGAGCATGGCTATAATCCTCTCCTCAAGCGGCCCGGAGGCACCGGCGCTGTCCCCACCCCACCACCCCGCCCTTGGTCGGCCAAACCAGAATCCATGATGCAAAAATTAAAAACGGGCCGGATAAACACCCTTTGATCCACCCATCCATTTCTCAGGGATGTTCCTTCCCACACCCAAGCTGCCTCGATCAGCTTCCCTGGTGGCGCCACCCGCCTCCCCACCCTGCAGGGGGTCTGGCCAGGAGGACCCCCCTCCTCAGCCGGCTCGCTGAGGCACTGCAAAGCGGGACAGTGGTGGGACGGACGGGGCCTCAGATGGAGCTGAGATGGTTGCTGGCTGGTGCTGGGCAGAGGGGAAGTGCGCGGACTCTCATCTGGGAGAGCCGGGTTTGATTCCCCACTCCTCCACTTGCAGCTACTGGATGACCTTGGGCAAGCCATAGTTCTGTCAGAGCTGTTCTCTCAAGGACAGCTCTGGAAAGAGCTCTCTCAGCCCCACCCACCTCACAGGGTGTCTGTTGCGGGGAGGGGAAGGGAAAGGAGATTGTGAGCCGCTCTGAGACTCCTTCAGGTAGTGAAGGGTGGGGTAGAAATCCAATCTCTTCTTCTTCTTCTTCACTCAGGCTGTTTCGGTTCATGCGCTCAGTTGCAGCATTTGTGTCTCCCATGCTCTGCCCTTTTTGGCACGTGGGCTGGGTTTTGGTTTTCTTTGTAAGACACTTTGAGCCTCTGGGTATGGAGGGGAAGATGGGGTATAAATATTTAAATAAGAAACTGCGATAAATCTGCCCACAGGTCAAGGGGGGTGGGATGCTGGGGCCACCTGGTCCAGGGCGGGGCCTCCTCAGTCCATTCGAGTCTCCACAGCGACTCCTTGGCTGGCAGCGCTTGCCCTGGAGTAACCCTGCTTTCCCAATACGGGCTCCCACACCTTCAAAGCCTTTGCTCTCAGAACGGTGGTGCCAGCAGATTATATTACCACCGTCAAAGGACTCTCCAAAACACGAGCCATTCGCTCCACCTCCCCCGACCACAGGGGCTTCCAAAAGAAGATTTACCACCTTTGGGTGAGAAAGGGAGAAGCAGAAACCCACGTGGCTTCCTCGCCTCTCTCTGTAAAGCGCTCCCCGTCTCTGCCTTGACCGGCTTTTGCCCCATTTGGAACTAGAAGATGAAATTAGGCCGATGGGCGTCGATTACAGAGAGGACGACGTGTAGCTTTCCTTGGCTCTGGATCTGGGGAGGCCTGGCACCGGAAGGAGGTCTTTAGACTGAGCCGAGGAGGAGGAGGACGCCCCAGTTGCACAAGGAAGGGCAAGGCCAGGTGGCTCCTGCCCCCATTCTAGCCCACACAAAATGGCACCGACAGTGGCCTTGCTTCACGGGGCTGCCTCTTCCCAACCCGCTCATCCCACCTCTGCAAAAGAGCGCCCAGCCCAGTCGTAATCTGCCAGTGAGCAAAAGAGGAAGAGAGAGTTCTCACCCACAGCAATGCTAGAGACCAGCCATGCCACAGCCAAACAAAAGGGAGCCCTTCTTCAAGAGAACGTGCACTTGGTTTTGTGGAATTCAGCAGCTGAAAAGTTAATGGAGAAGGACAGATGGGTCGACTGCGAGACATGATGACTGAATAGAATTGTCCATGTTCAAAGGACGCCTACCCCTGAACGTCAGGTGCTGGAACAAGCAGCAGGGCAACCCCAGTACATTCTGGCCCTGCTCTGCGAGCTGGGAACAGGATACTGGGGCTGGCTTTGGACTGCTCCAGCAGGCTTACATGAAGGAGCAATTTCTAGAGACCCAGTTTGGTGTTGTGGTTAAGTGTGCGGACTCTAATCTGGGAGAACTGGGTCTGATTCCCCACTCCTCCACAAGCAGCTGCTGGATGACCTTGGGCTAAGCCATAGTTCTGTCAGAGCTGTTCTCTCAAGGGCAGTCCTCGAAAGAGCTCTCAGCCCCTGAGCCCCACCTCCCTCACAGGGTGTCTGTTGTGGGGAGGGGAAGGGAAAGGAGTTTGTCCATCACTCTGAGACTCCCAAGTGAAGGGCGGGGTATAAATCCAGTCTCTTCTTCCTCCTCTTCTCCGGGTGGCCCAGAGAGTCAGGAGTCCTCCGGTCAGCCCAGAGAGTTGGGGGCCTGGATGGAAGGGGGGCCTTAGCAGGAAGTCAGGGGGCCAGCCCCCAAAATGCCCCATTGTGGCCAGAGGCCTGGGGAGAGAGTTTTTTCATAGTACACCGAGAGTGGTTTGATCTGCCACGCCCTCCGTCTTCAGACTAGAGGGCAGGAATTCGGGGGGGGGCGAGAATCCCCAACATCCCCGGCCGTCCTTCCTTACTTCTTCAGTTAAACCTGCCCTTCCCAGGCTGGCCCCAAACAGCCTCAAAGACCAAGGCCTAACCAGCACAAAGAGGCAAGAAGGGGGCTTCCAGCAGGGGATGTTCTGCTACCCAGAAGGACAGCGGCTGAGGATGACGGGGGGCAGAAGCAAAGTAGCCGCTCCGGAGGAGGGCCGAGAGGCAGCCCAGCAGTTGGGCTCAGATGCCAGGGCTGGTTGGGGTCCCCTTCTCAGCAGGCCTGCTATCGAGGCCCCGTGAAGCTCTGGGGTCGCCTCTCCCACCCGGCAGCCAAGAGGGCAGCCCTCCGATGTGCGCCAACTGAAGTGAGGAGCAGACACACAGACCGTCACATCAGCCTTTGCAAGGGACTGTCAGACAGAGAGTGCAAGCACGCTACAAGGACAGGCAGCGGCTTGGCTGGCGCATTCCAAGACAGCCTTCGAATTCCTCTGTTGACGGCGGCCCTCTGCAAAACCTGCCATCAGAGTCTCACCCACCATCCGGCCTCTCTACCCCGAAGCCAGGCAGTTTGCAGCCTGTGGCCAACCACCAGAGCTGCGGGCACAAGCCCAGCACAATCCCCAGAAGCCAGCCCAATGCAACCGCCTGCCTCCTCCCGCCCTCCTTGCCACTAGTTATTTCTGCCACTTGTGTCAACCTTCCGTTCCCATCTGGGCCTCCCTCCCCTCGCTGTCCTTCATTCTGATTTCCTGTCCATCTTCTCTTGCGCCAACGTCTCCTTATGCCGTTTGGTGTGGTGGTTCGGAGTGGCAGACTCCAGTCTGGAGAACCGGGTTTGATTCCCCACTCCTCCTCCATGTGCAGCCAGCTGGGTGACCTTGGGTCAGTCAAAGCTCTCTCAGCCCCACCGACCTCACAGGGTGTCTGTTGTGGGGAGGGGAAGGGAAAGGAGATGGTAAGCCGCTCTGAGACTCCTTTGGGTAGTGAAGGGCGGGGTATAAAAACCAACTCTTCTTCTTAGCTGCTTAGTCTAGGAGACCCAGGTTCCAATCTCTACTCTGTTGTGGAAGCTCGCTGGGTGACTTCAGGGCAGTCACAGCACTCTCAACCTAACCCACCTCACAGGCAATGTTCCCTCTAAGCGGTGGAGTCTTGTGGGCAAAAATTCTACTTTGTGAGCTACGGGCATTAAAGTTGTGAGCAAGCCATTTGGCGACTGCATAAATTAATTTGCTCTGGGAGCCATCCTTCCTGAGCGAAGGCAAAAATGTGTGAGCTGGAGCCTAAAAAACTGTGAGCTAGCTCACACTAACTCAGCTTAGAGGGAACACTGCTCACAGGGTGGTTGCTGTTGTGAGGACAGGAGACGTCAGCCCACCACCCCAGAGGACCTGAGGGCTGACATATGCAAAGGGCTCCGGCTGAAACAGGGTGAGGGTTGACCATCTCACGCCCTGCCCTGGATATTCAGAGCCCTTCCCCCCCCCCCCAGCATCACGGCCTCCACGTTCTGTCAGGCACCTGCGGCTGAGCTGGCGAGAGCCCAACGGAGCATGTGTGGGCCGCGGCAACTGCAGGGCTCAGCATTTCGGTGTGTGCCTCAAAACGTGATCCAGGTTGGAAAGAGCAGCTCCTTCCAGGCACTTGTGCTGGTGCACGTGGAGTCCTTGCAGAGGGAACATCCCGCGGAAGCAGAAGAGCTGTCGAGGGCAGTGTTCCCTCTAAGCTGGGTTCGTGTGAGCCAGCTCAGAGATTTCTAGCCTCTGGCTCACACACTTTTTGTCTCGGCTCAGGAAGGGTGGCTCCAGAGCAAACCAATTTATGCAGCAGCCAAATCACTCGCTCACAACTTTAGTGCCCGGAGCTCACACAGTAGAATTTTTGCTCACAAGGCTCCACAGCTGAGAGGGAGGACTGGCGAAGAGTGGAGGGATTCAGGACCCAGCCAAAAGGGACTCGATGCACCTTGGCCTTGGCACAGGGCTGCTGGAAACAGACACTCTCTGTGAGGACCCAAACATTCAGCCCACACCGGCAGGTGTGTTCATACGTGCAAGAAACAGCAGCTCTGAGCCACAGCAAATATTGCCTGAGGAGGCGAAACTCTTT